GGTGTAAAATTTGCAACAATCTGCTGCAAAATTCCTGATGTAAAAATTGCACAGTTCTGGTGACTGGAGGGGCAAGCTTTCTTGAACATTTCTGGTACAAAAACTACAACGTTTTGAGAACCTCAAAGGTATTGAATTCTCAGGACAGTTCTAAAAGAAAAGATTTCTGGGGATGCGAATAATTTCTTGTGAATCCTGCAGATAGTATCAAGATAATTTCGAAAAGAATACTGAGTGAATCAAAAATCATACTCGATTTCGTATGTTTTTTTCTACTGAACGTGAAATGGAGAGAATCGATGCAAGTTTGTGCGTCATTCTACAATTCGCAGTGGTCCAGAATGCAGATTTAGGTGGAAGAATATGTTTTGAGCTTGAAAATGAAACTTTAGACTAAAAATCTCTCCTAAAAAATTGTTTTTTTCATAGTTAGACCCTCATTTTCATGACAATGAATTCTAGGGTGGTTCTTATTAAATTAAAATTAAAATCTTTATGTTAGAAGAAATTTGGGTATACATTCTTCGGCAAAGTTAAGGCTGAGCTAATTAAAGCAACTTTTAGATCATTAGAAGGTGTTTTTTGTGTCTCTTAAATTGACTGATTTAGAGCTATTTCTTTGAATTGAGTTGGGGTGTCTCTAAAAAACAGTTGTTTTTTTTCAAATTTCTCAGCAAAGATGTACTGCAAAAACTATTAGATCATAAATAGACGCAATTTTTTTCTGCGCAGAGCTTGTCGATATTTTTCGCCGATCAAGAGTTATTGACGTTTTTCTACTAAAAACCCTTTTCAAATGTTAATATCTCTGGTTGGGGCAAACAAAAGAATTTTTTTACAGCATTTGAAAGGACGTATGCTATTCTTAGTACTATGAAAAAATTGAAGGTATATTATTGTTTAAACTCGAATAAAATCAATTTGAATTTACTCATATTTTTTACTATAATTGGGTATATCTTTCTTATTAGAAGAGATACAAGCAACAACTTTTGCTATAAAACGTGCGTCTTAAAGAGTTTTAAAAGTCTCTAGAAGATAACTTTTATGAGAAATTTTATATAAAAAAAAAAAGTTATCGGCAAAAGGTGGTTTTCATAGGACCAGTCTAATTTAAATAAAAATGTGCTAGTGACATTTAGTGTCGGAGAAGTTGTTGTGCTAATAAATTCCCTTCATTTGGTGTTTGCAAACGTCAGCATTGAAGGATTTTTAAAAAACTTATTTATATGTATTTAAAAAAAATGTAGCTGAGTTAATTTAAAGCAACTTTGTTGAAAATAATTTTATTCAATCTCTTGAAATTTTCGTTTAAGAATATTTTTTGGAGTTGACTTGGTGTGTTCCTGGAAAAAAAATAGTTTTTTAGCACTCACTTTTTCATTTCAAATTTCTCATGAATGTCACCAACTCTTTAAGACAGGGTTTAAGGGTATATTTTTAGCATAAAAACGTCAATACGTATTACAAATAAAATGCTTGATGGTCTAGTTGAAAGCGATGACAGAACATGATATAAAAAAAAAAAAGAAAAAAAATCATTACATCGTCTGCACGGTCAACTTATATCATTCGCTGCGGTATTTGCTGCGGAGCATGATAGGAAGTGCAACTTACATTCAATGTAATACATTTATGATATTCGTGTATTTTTTCAAACTGTCTAGTAATTCTAATCACCTCTTCCAGATATTTTCTCAGGATACCAGGTGACTTAATATATACTCTAGAGATCTTCAGAAGATCAGAGATGTTCAGAAACTTTTTTTTTCAAGTCTTCAGAATGATCAAGTATCATTCTGAAGATCTTGAACTGTTCGATAATCCAATTTTCGACTCTCAGGAAATTGTTTTAAAGACCTGTCTTAGTGATCGGTAATCACTATAAATTATCAGTAATCCAAATCACATCCCTAAGATAGTATCTCATATGATACCAAGCGACTCAGAAGTTATGTCAATACACTTCAGGTAATCAGAGATCTCCATAAATTACTCAGGTTATATTTTCATGCAAAATAAAAACAGAATTTAAAAGCGACATTGCATTTCACACGTTAAAGCTGTTAGATGTAGTTTGCCACTGATTATTTTGTATGGTCACACATAACATATGTGGAATAGGTGGTATAGAAGGACATCTATCTGTCAAATTGATTATACCAGCTGTAAAATGAGAAGGGGATCAAGGGGCTTGTCAATTCTTTTGAATGATCATACCGTGGTTTATAATTCTATGTGTTCCTAGCACTCCCGAACTCACTTTTTCCTTAACGATTTATGTGCTTTATTTAAAATAATATAGCTAACATTAACAAATTGATCACCTTGATTCATACAGCAAAACTGTGGTAAACTGTATGTAACGTTTCCTTCTTTGGATACTTTCTATTTTTTTTAATAGTTTCGTAGCAGGAAAAACACGACCGCGTAAATTTGGAATTAAATGCTTACATTTTTAAGTCCAGAGAGAAGCAGCAAAATTTGGAACAAGAGTCAGAAGTACCATATAAAAAAAAAATCAGTATTTTGAGCTGACTTTGCTTTGTTTCATTCGCAAGAATTTTGTAAGCAGAACGATAAATGAAATTGAGTGCTTATCGATACCTGCAATATCCAAGATTTCCCTATGTTTCTCAATGTCGTCAATTGAAAATTTCCTCAAAAATCCCAACACAAAGACCCAAGCAACACACATGTTATATAACAGTTTATATAACCTTTATATAACTGAATTTGGTTGTAAAGAAGTTTACTCAACATAATTGCATGAAAATGTGTTACTTGGGGAACAACTCAAATTACGTTATAACAAAAAACATGGTAAGGTTGAACTTTGTTGATTGAAAATGCAAAAGAGGAGCTACCCAAAATCATAACAAACTTTTTTTCTACAACTATGGCTAAGGTCCCTGGGCGGGACTCCTAGCTAGCTGTATTAAAGTTAAGCACTATTTACATACGGAAATAATCGTTAATATGCATCAACTTTATATTTATGATGCAATCATAAGTTGACTCACTAAAAGCACAGTTAATAATATTTCAACATACCACAGACAAAATGATAGTTTTACACCTATTCAACGTAATCCTCAAATTTTCGAATTGTTTGCATTAAATTATATTCAATTTACATCATTTCCGTCATGAATCCGATGCAAACCAATAAGATGAAAAAAATAATGCATCTGTAAATAGGCAATATTATGGAATAACAACGCTCTTGATTGGCTTCTGACCGACTTGAAAATACTAGTTAAAAAATCCTTTGACAAGCCCGAAAAAATTATCTTGGCCTCACCTAATCTCATTACGCATTACCGTGACTATTAACCACTTCATTCGAGCAGATAAAATGACGTTTACTACCACTCAAACTTTGAAATGAAACATTATTTTGAGATTTTTTTTTTCTTTTAGAGCCTCGAGAAAAGCAGCCAAAATTTGTGCGTTTCATAAAAAAATAGAAATTAGTTGGTCCAGTTTTGTGAAATCGCTGGTAGAAAGTCACGCCAAAACTGCTTGACAAAGTGGTCAATTAACAATTCGCCTCTTCGGTCACTCTGTAACTCTTCACTCCTCCTTTCTCATGTTTGCATATGGGATTTTACCAGAAGTAAAGAATTGCAGAGTTGCCGTCAACGTCAATGCTTACAATGCTCAATGCTGCAAACGTAAACAATTACTTTTTGTGTGAATTTCTCGAAAATGAAAATTCCTTCTAGAAAATCAACACCATGATTGTGTAGAGAAAGAGTCCTCTTATCCGATAATATTAGTGGCTTACATGGATTGACTTTACACCACGAGATATTTACGCAAGAAGCTACTATTTATGTTTTCGACATTGGTTTTTATGAATGCTCAGTGTCGATATCACGAAAATTTTATTTTGACAGATCGATGTCCAACCATGCCAGTTATACCACTGAGGCAAAACCAAAAAAGGGGTCAGATTTGAGTCAGCTTTTTGCATGAAGTTCCACATATGTTGTGTGATGGTCAGCTGTCATAACGACCTATTGTAGCGCTGCAAAAACTATTTTGTTTGCCACGGTAGTGAGGATGGATTTTTAATATTTGATTTAATAGTAGTAGTTATAAAAAAGTGATTTTGAGTAGTCTACAAAGGTTTGAGCCTCACGCGCATATTACGGATATAGAGGACTGAATTTATCGTTTGATAAACAAACAAAAAATTAATTTTGAAGCTCATTTGGAAGATGCCATGAATTAGTAATAAGTTTTCTGGCTGAATGTCGGAGATTCGTTAGCATTCCTGACGTTGCTAAAAATTACGATGACATCAGATTGCGTGGTTGCTTGTATATTAGAATTCTTTGTTGATTATTCATAAACTCTGGACCGCTGGGAATGCTTGTGAATATTTGAAGTGGACAAAAGGGTGAACAAGGATGTGAACCCTAAGTTTTTTTCACATTTTCACAAGCTGTGAATCAACTGAAAATTGTTGAGGGAATCTATATCTGTAACGGTAACCAGTTCGTTTTTGTTTGCTAATCTGGTTAAGATGTCAAACTTAATTATCTTAAAAATAAAACGACCCGTTCAAACCTTTGTAAGATGTGGGACCATCATCATTCTCACGTTTTCTCCTTTTTAAGAAAATATACGTGTAAAATCATATTTTCTAAGTCATCCTGGCAGAAAGTTGGACTCATAAAACCAAAAATAATGAATCATTCAGTTTTGTTTAGAGCCTTTGTTTTTTTCATGATGAAGTTAACTAAAGAAAACACTAATTTTCTTAGATTTTTGATACTTTTTTTTCAATAATTTTAGAAAGATCAAAATGAGTTTAACTTTTGTTTTTATTTGGTTGTAAGCTTTCCATTATCCCCGTTTTTTACAACACAGTGCCTTTCCGGTTATGGAAACACGATTTCATAAGTTATTCCTTGCTCGGGTTATATTCCATCGCTTACTGGACAACTTTTCATACATTACAAGCCATTCCCATTAGAGCGAAATATTACCTAAACATATGCGAATAATCCTTTTCCAACGATTTAGCGTGGTCGTAGCGAACCTGCAGCATATTTTCCATGATCTCCTCATCGCTCGCTGGCTGCTGCCAGTTAACTGCCGTGTCGTTTTGCTTGTCGGATTGATCCATTTTCACCAATTTAAATCACTCAATTTCACCGAAAAGAACTGCAACGATTTTCTTCGTTCTCGAACTACAACCGATCTCCACCCGATCACAATCACTTTCGTAAACAAAAATCTCACGCTTATCACTTCAGATGATTTCACTGACTAACTAGATTATGTTGCATTTTCTTCTCTCCTGGAATTAATCACACTTTCAGCCAATATCACCGTCCACCAGAGAAGCACAAAACTACTCGCTTTTGATAAGTAACTGGCATTTTCTCTCCTTTTCTGACGGCTCAAAGATAATCAATCAGATTCGGGATTCTTCCTCGTTATGCCCCACAATACGGTTAAACAAAGTACCCGAACCTTTCACGTATAACTCAATCGATGAACTGGAACGGTTGTCATATTTGAGCACACATTTTATACCGATCAACTGGCAACGCACGTTTTATTAAGCATTACGACCGTCGTCTGGATGAGCTTCGAGATAAAGTGCGACCATAAACATGCCTGCATTTCCCCAGATAACCACCCTGCCGTCCACCTGTTCTCTCCACCTCACACTCATCCGATCCCAATCAAAAAGATATTTGTCACGGGAATGTTCGTGGTGGTCGGCGGTGGTTAAATATTTTCGGTTGATTGTGTAAGTACGTATGTAGGTACTACATGCCAGTAATCACCGTTTTGCAAATATTCGCAAAGAATGAACGGGCAGTAAAACACGTCAACCCCTGCTTTTACTTTTTCGCGAAAACAAAATAATGAAACGTGCTATGATTGATTGTAGGTAATAGATTAGTGTTCGCTCTGCGTACAGGTACTAAATCGATTTAGATTAGCACGACAACATGGACTAAACATGACAGCTAATGGCGAGATAATCTAATCAATCAATGAATGTTTATTTATTGGAACGATTACTTCAGTACCGAATCGGATCCAATCAGGGATGTCCTGCTGATAATGAGGAGCACTTCACGAAGGCAGCTGCCGGACTTTGAAGTTGATAGCGACGGCAATTGTTAGTTAGTCGATTGTCATATTCAGTTCGAACCTACCTCCGATGGATGATCGGATAATAGACGTTAAGCTGAGTAAATTTATGGTTGATTGTGAGAACTGGATGTTTCGGGGCAGCACGCCTTTGAAGAATTTTTGACACGTAATTGTAAATCATATTCTCAAGCGTGGGAAACGTTGGTATATAGTAGGGAGGCCCAAAAATGGACTTTGTCGGGAAACCTGGAAGCTTACCCTCCAAATGAAAGCTAAGCTAAGTGACATTATGGAATTTAATCATCACAAGTGGGTATCAAGTGGGATGCTATTCTCAATCTTATCCAACAGAAAGATTAGAAATCTTACGGAGAATAACATGACCAAAGATAGCATGTCCATTCTATTTTAATCCGTTATTATGTTATTCGTGATTTACTGTGGAATGAGAAGTGACATTTTTGCATGTTTTCTTATATACACACACTAAGAAATGACTAATTTTACACATGACGGAATCTATTTGTGACAAAAAGAATGAGACGTAAACCAACATATCATGTAAAATGAAGTGCTCCGAGACTGAAAAGTTCGTTACTTTACGAAAAAGTACGTATCTGTTATGTCCCAATTTTATGTCAACATTGGCGCTCGTAGTCTCAGAGTACCTAAATTTACACAAATGTGTATTGCTAAATTTACTTGCAATATTGTGCAATAACATTCAATAAATTAAACTTCATGTCAAGTAATCGAAAACTGATTTTTTTTAAAAGCATTATTAAGGATTTTCCGGTTTTCGTCAATTACCATCAGCAGATGATGTTTCTTTTGGTCAGTCTTTGGTTCAAATTCATCGTAGTCTCCTGATACGCCAAGGTCACGTTCTACAGGATCGTTATTTTCACAGCAAGATAATCATTCCTATTCTAACTCCTGGGATTTTTCTCATAAACAGTAAAAAAGTAGTGTAAATTTTCGTTACTTATTTAACTTTGTTAAAAGCGGTCAGACGGACCACTTCGCTAAGCCCTCGATCCCTGGTCTAGCCAACGGGGATCACTGAGGGTGGGTTCTACAACAACCTCTTTTTTTACTGGCTTTAGCTCGAGCATGAAAGAGGAACCTTCAGGGTCGGCTGTAGGTAGGATTGTTCGATCAAGGGATTGAAAGCACTTTCTCTCTTTGTTCGCGAGTGGACTGTATGATTCTAATCTTTTCTTAATGGAAACTGGTGGACACTCCAAAAGACAACCATTTCCTATCAGGGTTTCGGAATCTCGGATGAAAACACATGTTAGTTCTTTAAACCACTATATTACACTTATTTACATTTATTTCCTACTGTTGCTCTCACATGACCAACCATGATCTTCACTTGGTGGAAGCTTCGGACAATAATGGCTTCCCATCTCCTCGTAGAATTTCTCCTCCCATTCGTGCTATCTCGTTCTCGTTTTGTTTCGACGTTCGTGTAGCGGTACGTTGCTTATTCGTGCATCTCAGCAGGCTGCGGCCGGGTGATACACTGTCAAATAATTTCCTTCATACGCGGCGTTTGTGAACGGCTCGAACATCCTCCCCCCCGGGAGCTCCGCAATTATTATCGTTGGCAGCCTTGGAAGTAGAAGCATTGTCAAGTATGGGGAGAGGAGCCAGCTTGTGGATTGGACGTTTCAGCAGTCCGGCCTTGGTCTGGACATCTACCACCCGAACCATTCCGTCTGCTCCTGAATAGGTTTTTTCAACCTTCCCGATCTTCCAATACTGAGGAGGTAAGTTGTCGTCCTTGATTAGAACGACCATGTTACCTCGTTTCTTTGTCCATTTTTGGCGTAACTGCAACTCCAACAGGTACTCCTGGGACCAGCGTTTCCAGAAATCACTGCGAAGGCGCTGGACGTATTGCCATCTGGAGAGTCGGTTGACTGGGATTCCTTCGTAACTTGGCTCCGGGATGGCAGTCAATGGTCGGTCAATCATAAAATGACCTGGTGTCAACGGTTCAGGCTCCGACGGATCATCGGAAAGTGCGTACAAAGGCCTAGAGTTAAGCTGCGCTTCAATCTGGCAGAGCAAAGTCGAGAACTCCGGCAATGTGAGTAGGCTCGACTGGCAAATCTTCTTCAATACGGTCTTCGTACTCTTAACTCCAGCTTCCCAGATTCCTCCCATGTGCGGTGCGTTTGGGGGAATCGTGCTCCACTGAATCTGTCGGATATGGCAGAACTCGAAAATCTTTTGCTCGGTCACCTGCTGCTTGAAGAGCCGACAGAGTTCGTTCAACTCGTTCCGAGCACCAATGAAGTTGGTCCCGTTATCGGAAAATATTTCCTCAGGGACTCCACGACGAGATACAAACCGATGTAAAGCGGCAATAAAGGCATCAGACGAAAGATTTTCAACAACTTCTAGATGAATTCCCTTCGTCACCATACACACAAATACGCTTATGTATCCTTTTAAAGGTGCCGCCTTTCTGCCAGTTTGCTTGATGAGCATCGGACCAGCGAAATCGACACCAACCTTGAGGAAAGCGGGCGCCTTATCGCAACGAGCGACGGGAAGATCGCCCATACACTGGTTGGCTATCGGCGGTTTGATCTTAAAACACCGCACGCAATTTCGAGTTACCTTACGCACAGCAGATCGAGCTCCCAAAACCCAAAACTGTCGAAGAAGCTGAGCGAGCAACGCCGAAGGTCCAGCATGAAGGTTCTCACGGTGCAACGCAACAATCAAGCTCTGGACAATTAATTCATGGCTTGGCAAAACCAACTGGTGCTTCACTCCGTATGGTAAACTTGAATGACGCAGTCGTCCACCAACACGAATCAAACCATCATCCAAAAATGGGTTTAGCTTGGAAAGCCTTTTGCAGTACTCACCAGACGCGATGTTGATAATTTCTTCACCAAAGTGCTGCAATTGAATCACCCGAACAATTACCTTCAACGACTGACGTAATTCGAACATGGTTGGGTTCAAAATGAAGTGCCAGGGCTTCAATCACTTTTTTCACAAGCCGATGGAGTAGCAGAGCCGCCAACAGCTCCTTTCTTGGTATGGTGAGGACTGACTTCGGCACAATCTTCGACTTGGCACACAACAATCTTACGACCGCAGTATGACCAGATACGACAGACCTGAGGTACACACATGCGCCGTATGCTTCTAGCGTTGCATCACCAAATCCATGCAACTGATAAGCAGAAGCACCAGTAACCACCACTTGACGAGGAATTCGGAGATTGGTAACACCATTCAACGCATTCAGGAAATAGTCACATTTCTTCTTCATATCGTTTTTGAGCACTTCATCCCAATCCAATTCTTCCTTCCAGATAGACTTCATCAAAAGTTTTCCGATCACAATAACCGGCGCCACTAGACCCAGAGGGTCAAACATTCTCGACACTAGCGACAGCACTTGCCGCTTAGTCGGACACTTCACGTCCGACGTTGGAAGGGAAATAAACTGCAGAGCATCCGAAGCAGGGTTCCACAAGAGTCCCAGCGTTTTTATGACTTCGTTTGCACTACACTCATCAATGCTGACCAGTTCATCACGATCTCTTTCCGGAATCTTATTCAGCAACTCAACATTGTTCGATGCCCACTTATGCAGATGAAATCCACCGGCTTCCAGTAGATCGATCAGCTGCGATTGGGCTTCCGCAGCATCATTCAAGTCGTCATACCCGAACAACGCATTATCCACATAAAAACTGTTCTTCACTATGTCAGCCGCCAGAGGGTACTTGCCACCTTCGTCGATTGCCAATTGCAGAAGTGCCCGCGTTGCCAAAAATGGGGCGGAAGCCGTACCGTAGGTTACTGTTGTCAACTCTAGGACACGGAGAGGCTCTGAAGAATCTTTCCTCCAGAACACTCGGAATAGCGGAGTAAACCGCCAGTCGACGAAAATCTGCCTGTACATCTTGGCGACATCTGTAGCCAACACATGAAGAGGTATGCGGAATCGTATAGAAATTGCCTGGAGATCGCTTTGACTGATGGCACCAATCTTCATCACATCGT